TAACTAATATATTTTCTTTAAAATCAAATTTCTAAAAAGTTCGATTTATTTTCATCTAGAACTGAGTTTCCCCTGAATCAGTCAGAGTATTTTCGATCTCAGTCATGTATTATGCTGATTGATTTGATGTTATCATGTTCTCAATGCAAAAGCATTGAAAAAAGTGAAATCATAAGTTCGAAAAAAAATATTACTAATGCTTGTATCCCTGCTAAATTAAATGTACCAATTAAATTTACATCTCCAGATCGTCTGAAGCTTACATTACACAGTGTTCGCCTGGAAAATAAAGAATTAAAAATGGAATTAGCTTTGATGAAGCAAGAAATTGAAAATTCATCACTAACTATAAGTAAAGATACTGAAAGTGATTTAGTTAAAATAATGTCAGGAGCTGATAAAAGCAAGATTTCTCCATTTATGAACCTGTTTTGGGAGGAGCAGCAAAAATATTTAAAAAGCTCAAAACAAGGAACTCGTTATCATCCAGCAATAATACGTTACTGTTTGGGATTGGCTGCAAAATCACCAGCTGCTTATGGAGCACTAAGATTAAATGATAAAAATAATTCTGGTTTTTTAATTTTACCAAGTCGTAGGCGACTACATGACTATAAAAATTATGTGAAACCAAAATTAAGATTTAATAAAAATATAATCACAGAATTAAAAGATAAGATCAAAGATTTTTCAGCTCAAGAAAAATTTATTGTCCTAGTTCTTGATGAAATGAAAATTCAAGAAAATCTTGTTTGGGACAAACATTCTGGAGAGTTAATAGGTTATGTTGATTTAGGTGATCCTAGTGTTAATTTTGCAACATTGCAACAGGCAGACAAGCTTGATTTTCATGTATTAGTTTTTTTAATAAGAAGTGTTGTAAATCCATTCAAATACAGTTTTGCAAACTTTGCAACTATAAATATTACATCAGTGCAATTATTTCCTCTATTTTTGAAAGCTGTAGGCATTTTAGAAATCTCTGTTGGTTTAAAAGTAGTTGCAGTTACTTGCGATGGAGCATCGTCAAATAGAAAATTTTTTAAAATGCATTTTAATCTGACTGAAAAAGAAAATAGAAATGGTAATGTTGATGAGACTTACCGCACTGATAATTTATTTGCTGATGATGGCGATAAAAGATTTATATATTTTATTTCTGATGTCCCTCATTTAATAAAAACAGCAAGGAACAGCCTTTCTCATTCTGGAGCTGGTAAAAGCAATCGCTATATGTGGAATCAGGGTCAACATATTTTATGGTCATATTTTATAACATATTTTATGAAGATTTAAAATGTCAGTTGCATGCATGTCCAAAGCTAACTGTTGAACACATCAAAATAATTCCATTTTCAGCTATGAATGTTCGTTTAGCTGCACAAGTTTTAAGTAATTCCTGCAGTACTGCATTAGAAATCTATGCGCCATCAGATACTTCAGGAACTGCACAGTTTTGCAAATATTTTAATGATTTTTTTGATTGCTTAAATGTTCGTAATAAAAATGATTATATATTAAAACGCAACTCATTTTTGAAACTATTTTCTGATACAAATGATGTTCGATTTACATGGCTAAAAGAAAATTTTAAAAAATATCTTTCTGATTGGTTTTTATCAATTGAATCAAGACCTGGAAAATTTTCAAAAAGTGATAGAAGTAATATGTTTATTACTTGGCAAACCCATGAAGGTTTAAAAATTACAGTTAATTCTATTGTTGAACTTGTGAGTTTTTTAATTAATAGCAATGTAAGTTATGTATTAACTGAAAGGTTTTGCCAGGATCCTTTAGAAAATTACTTTGGACAACAACGATCAATTGGTAAAAGAAAAGATAATCCTTCCTTGTTTGATTTTGGGTTCAATGATAATACCATTCGAAATCAACATATATTTCACCCAATTGCAGGTTACTGTCTAAATATTAATGAATCAAACAGAACAACAATAAAGGAGAGAATGAGTCGTATACCACGCAGAAAATGGACTTACTCTCAAAATTCTATCAATAAGAAAAGTTGATTTTTAATGTGATTTGATAAAAAACTCTCTTATGTCTCCTCGTACTGCTGAAAACAAATAAATGAATTTGCATAAAAACGGCTATTTTCATAGCCACAAATGTTTTAAAAACATTAAATGGCATATAAATAAAATAAATTGTTTTTTGTTTGTTTTACTTTTGTTACAATATAAACCTATGCTTTTTATAGAAGCTCTAATTTATAAAGATTTATATAAATATTTTACAAAACCTTTAATAACTGCAATTTTATATGGAACCGTAGTTAGAGGTGAAATTCTTAAAGCTTTTCTATTTTTCATAGGTACCACTGCAGGCCAACACCTCTTCTCCAAAACCTGTCATTAGGGCCCCACAGTTTGAAAACATATTTTAAATATTAGCAATGACATTAGCTCCTCAAGTTTGTTTATGGGCTCTACAATTTTATGGGCCCTAAAATTTTCTACCCACTGATTAAGGGCCTGGGGGAGCCTATATATATGTATATATATATATATATATATATATATATATATATATATATATATATATATATATATATATATATATACATATATATATATATATATATATATATATATATATATATATATATATATATATATATATATATATATATATATATATATATATATATATATATATATATATATATATATATATATATATATATATATATACTAGCTGGGCGGACCCGTAAAATACGGGTCTTTACCGAACCGACCATTTTTATACTTATCTGATCATTTCTATAGCTATCAGGACGTAAAATAAGGGTCTTAGTAAATCTATTCCACACCGACCTTTTCTATACTTATTCCTTACCTCAATATTTTTTTAAAACCGTTTTAAAAACTATGTACATATAAAAAACTATACTTACTTTTTGATATGACAAAAAAATTTCATTATATAACGTTATAATGTTCTTTAAAAACTTTAAACGCTTTTAATATTATGCCGATTATAAAGATTTTAATAAGAAAAAACGTAAAAAAGACTACGAACTTTGAAAAATGCTAAAACACTCAGCACGTGATGCCGTTAAAGTACGCCTTAGTTAACGTTCATAACATATACACATCTAATTAGATTTTTTTTTAAATTCAGTTGTTCCAAACTTGGTTTTGAATTTTTAATTACACTTCTTATGCGTCATAAATTATCTCAAATTCTAAATAGAGAATACGTTTATGGGCTAATTGGTAGCCGCGCAACACTTAGACAGATATAGTCATCTCACCCCGGGAGTTCATATTCCAGTGACCTTTTTTTTCATCCCAACGTACAACAAAAACAATTAAAAATAAATGTTATTATTGAAACAGTTTTAAACATTTCTTCCAATTTTTCTTTGAACTTAATTTTATTCAAGGTAAATATACTTTTGGTGTTTGTAAGCGTTTTTTTACGTTTAGTATTGGTAGGAATTATTTGCACGCACGTATTTTAAACAACTATTTTTACTGTTTCATCTAAAAATCATATGTAATTTAGTTTTATAATTTTTTAAATATAATATATATAATTTAAAATATTTTATTAACCCTATTTAAATAAGTATCAAAACTCTTTTCTTTAATTTAAAAGAATGCCTGCCCAAATCTAAACCCTCAGTTGATATATCTCCGCTTTGCTTTTATTTGTTAACCGTTAGAAAAACATTACAAAAAGAAACATAATAGAGTCCATTAGTTTATAGCATCCGAGTAGACTCTTCCAATATTAAACAGAGTATCTTACAATTTTATTGGTTTTCTAAATTCTGTCATAGTTGCGCACTCGGTTTAGAATATTTAACGGGGGCGTAAATAAGTAACTGTAAAATTCTAAATATTTTTATTATTTTAAATTAAATAGTTTTAACGTTTTATTATTTTGAAAAATAATAAGTTCAATAAAATAATTTATTTTTAAAATAAATTTAAGATTTTTAAAGTTTTTTTAAATAAGAATGTTTTTTTTTAAAACCCCCTCACTGTTTTAAAAAATTCAAGGTCGCCGCGTGGCAAGTTCAAATCATCAGCTTGCTTTTTTTAATAAAATTATTGTTATTTAAAATGCAAAACAAAACAACTTTATAGTTCTAAATATTTACATGTTATATACCCAATTTCTTTGCGCTAATACGACTTAAAATAACATGACAAATAATAAATTTAAAATTATAATAAATAAAAGTTTACGTAAGTTAGCACACACTTTCGTTAATGTTTTCTTATAAAAAGGTGCTGCGACTCTTCCTCGCCAGTACCTCGGTTGCAATGGCTGCGTTGGGTTTTGTGTCAAACGTGCTCGAAAGGGCACTACTACTATTAAGTTCCTTATTATTATATAGTGATGATGATGATGATGATGATGATGATGATGATGATGATAAATCTTTAAAAGTGTTTTTTTTTGTATTTTAGAAAAATCGAAAAAGATTAAAAAAAAAAAAAAAAAAAAGAAATAAACTAAGTGTTTCAAGACTTTATGTCGCAGTTTAGTAAACCAAAAATAAATAAAACTATATAGACTATGGTAGGATTCAAACCACAAGTTTTCCGATCAGAAGCTCAGCGAGCTAACCACGGCATTTTGACGAAAATTTCAAAAATATATAATAAATAAAAGACTTTGTAAATCGATCAAAATTAAAGAGACGTTGCCGCAATGCTGTTTTTAAGTGAAAGTAAAACTGTAAAACTTGACATGTTTTTGTATGTTTTAACATTTCATATTTTGAAGTTTACGTAAGTTAGATATTTACATACACTTTTGTTCACGTTTACTTATCAAAAAGTGCTGAGACTCTTCCTCGCCATTACTTTGGTTGCAATAGTTGCCATGGGTTTGTCAAACACGCCCGAAAGAGCGCTACTGACACTATTAAGTTCGGCAATAATATATAGAGAAGATAGCTTTTAGTAAATGGTATGAAGATTAGTAATATGTCTTTAGAAAAAGTAAACGCTTTTAAAAAATGATTAACGATTAACAATTTTTAAACCAGTAATAACAGGAAATCTACCTATAAAATGAAGAAAAATATTGTTATATAAAACACTGAATACACATATAAAAATTGTTTAAAGTTATTTAAAAGTTGTCTAAATGTTGAAAAATTACATAATAAGATGTAAAAAAAAATATAAAAGGTGACGAAACTTAGTCAATTATCAAACACTAAATAAGAAACTTACTTTGTGAGATCGCTTTTGTGGAAGTCTCTAGTATTTGATTGGAAGGCTGGAAACACTCTTTATTTAAAAAGCTATTTTATCAACAATGCTAAAGATAAAAAGCCACAGTGAGATAAAAAAATTAGGCATTTATTCAAAAAAACATTTCTTGGCTTTTAGTGAATGATTAGAAGGAGTAGTTTCAGTAATGAAGCTAGCTAATAATCATTTTTAACGATAGACACCAGCGTGAAGGTAAGCCAAGCTGTCTATCAACACAAAACATCACAACAGAAACATTACACAATGACAAACAAAAACACCAGTGGTGTAGGCAGGACTTTTGTTGTTTTATAAGAAATTTAAAACCTGTTAATGAATAAGATTATTATTATATGCTTAAAAAAAAAATACTTTTTTAACTAATTGGCAGCTAAATTCAAGGGAGGAAAGCAAACCTTTTTAAAACATATTTGTTTTCAAGCCCCAACCACATCCATATTTTACAAATTATTTGAATTTGACAAACATGAACACAATTAAGTTTAGTTGAAAGAGTCTGAAAGTAATGAAAGAGTTTGAAAGTAATGAAATAGTCTGAAAGTAATGAAATAGTCTGAAAGTAATGAAAGTTATAAAAGAGTCTGAAAGTAATGAAAGAGTTTGATAGTAATTAAAGAGTCTGAAAGTAATAAAAGTAATAAAAGAGTCTGAAAGTAATGAAAGAGTCTGAAAGTAATGAAAGAGTCTAAAAGTAATGAAAGAGTCTGAAAATAAAAGTAAAACCTGAAGCATCAAAAAATCCTGCCTACGCTACTGAATAATACACAACATATGACATTTGTAAGTACACATTACACAATGTATTCAGATATTATGTATTTCCAAAATAATTAAAAAAGCTAGACAACACAACCTAGCTCAACACTTGTAACACCGCTTGGCACTAAACGCTGCCAAGTAACACCACAATTTAGTAACACCGCTTGGCATTAAGTGCCAAGTAACACCACTAATTAGTAACACCACTTGGCTGACAAGGATCACAATCTTGCACTACACGTTGCCAAGTAACACCACTTTTCAAACATGGAAACAACATAATATAAACTTAAACACATATAAACAAACATATACAAACACAAACATCTATATATAAGTAAAAACATATATTCATATATATAAACATATATAGCAATGAAAAAAACCATAAACAAACTTGTCAAAAATATAAATTAAGAACATTTGTAAACACAACATTATTTGTGTAATATTTGTTAAATGACATACCTTGTAATGCATGTTTATCAACTTTAATAAACAAACTATTAAAAGATTTTGTTCTTGAACATGCATCATATAATTGGCCGTGTGAAAAGCAAGGCTTTTTGAGATAAGCACCAACTTTATCAAATGTTTGACCTTGACTTTTATTTATGGTTATTGAGTATGCTAACCTAACTGGAAATTGACGACGTTTAAGTGTAAAAGGTAAATTTGAATCTGATGGAGCTAATTGAACTCGAGGAACAAATACCCTGTTACCAGCTGATACACCTGTTAGAACCTCACCATCAATGTAATTGTTGTGTAGTGCACGCACCATCAAACGTGTTCCATTACAAAGTCCACCTTTGAGATCTAAATTTCTAAGTAGCATTATAACAGCACCAATTTTCAACTTTAGGCAATGAACAGGCATACCTGATGGAGTCAAAGTATTTAAAAACTCAACTGGAAAATTATAAATTTCATTATGATCATCAGTTTCAATGCTATCTGAACTTAAATAAGTTTTAACATCACCCGGTAATCGATGAAGGACTTCTTCATTTATTGCCAATGAATCAACATTTGTTGGTGTTAAAATAGCACGTTTTGCATAATCAGCTTCTTCTGCACCACCTAAAATCTTTCCACAATAGATTCATTATCATTGAGAAAACACTGCTCAGGTATTTCAATACACCCTTGCAAAGGATCTTCAGGCTTGACAGGTAATGTTCCACTTCCAAGCTTTAAAAGCCATTGAGAAAATTCCTCTTCTCCTATCTGAACCCTCATATTTTCAGTTAATGAAAACCTTTGCACATATTGCCAATGTTCAGAACACTTTATACATGATTCTACAACATCTGCTGGTCGACCTCTCTTCACAACTGGAAGTATTTGTCGAAAATCTCCACCCATAAGAATAACTTGACCACCAAAAGGAAACTTATTATTACAAATATCTTGTAATAACTTATCAATGGCACTCAAAGCATGTTTGGGTATCATAGATGCTTCATCGAGTAAATATAAACTAACTTGTCTCAGGAATCTACCATGAATGGAGTTTGGAGTTACATTACATTAGTTTCCAAAATTGGAACAGGAAGTTTGAATAAGCCGTGCAATGTGCATCCATTCTTAAGAAGAGTTGCAGCTATTCTTGTCCATGCAGCTGTTGCAGTTCTAATATGCCTGCTGCGTGTTTCAGCAATTCCTTATACAATACAAATCCTTGTAAAGTCCAAAAATTATTTTAAATATTTTTTATTTAATTAAATTTTAGAACATATGCAACTGCAACCATGGCCCCCACATCTTGAAACCGGGCCCCATGCTAGAGCTCTCTGCGGGCCCCCCCCCCAACCCACATACACACATACCCTTATTCCATTGCATACAATAAAAATTTTTTTTTCTTTGGCCACAATAAACTTATAAAGTTTTTTATTTAAGAAACCGCTTTTGCTTTCACAATCTAAATCATTTTTGTATTTATTTAAAGTTTTTTGCTTTTAAAAAAGATTAGGTTTTTAGATGTTTAAATGTTATTGAAAAGTTAAAAATTAAATTGTCAATTTTTCAATTTGATTTTTCAACTTAATGAGACTGAAAATTTTAAAGATTGAAAGCCGAACCCCATTTATCTCCGGATCCTAGTGCTAGAGTACCAACTGCACCTCCCTTTGTGGGGAGCCATGACTGCAACTATACGTAGTATATAGTATAATTATATTGTGGCTTACTTCTAAAAAATTCTGAAACTTCTCGTCGCCTAAAGACATACAAATTTATCTATATATAATCTCTTGATAAAATAATAAACTAAATATTTCAACATTATTTTCGTATCATCTCTTTCTATCTCTTTAATTTATTAATTTTATATAAAATAAAAAGAATACTCTAACCTTCTGTATTTTGGCTGCTCATTTCTAAAATATAATCTTAATGTTTATTCTTGTGTCAAAAGCATAATAACTTTATTAGTTCCAAATTAAGATTAATTTTTTAAATGGATGATTAAAATAAGTAAACTTGTAAACGATAGAGATGAAACTTACTTGTAGTTCTTTGCTGTATTGTACTTTGCAGTTCCTTTTTGTATAATCGATTTGAATAAGGAGAGAAAGCATGGCCAAGTTTTAGTGGTTTTAGAGTACAGTTGGCGCACATATCATAATGCAAAAATCAGATGATTTTTAAATCTATTAATTGAGCTGTTTTTATTATCGGATTTGGTGGATTTAATTAGATAACCGCAAGGTAGTTTTACAGTCGTTTAAGAGTTGGCGCATATATCGAAATACAAAAATCATTTAATATTTCTATTTTATATTTGAGCATTCCTATTACCGGATTTGGCGGAACTAAAATTATGACGTAATTTTAGCATTTTTGGGTTTTCTGTTTGTGTTAAGTTTTTTTTTATTAAGTTTCAGACTATAATTTTTTTTTCATACCATCCGGTACTTGTTAGGACTCTTGCCCAGTTAATTTTCAAGAAAATTTCAGTTTGCATGTAAAACTTTTTTTCTATTAGAGAAAAAGTTGTCTCTTAAATGCGCAGACTAAACTAATTTATCCAAAACTAAAGTATCTCTACCATGACATATGCGCAACAAATTTCAAACAGTGTTCTCAGGTTTTTAGAAATTTTACACAGCGTTTTAAAAAGTTCTCTCCCTTTAGTTTGTTATAATATATAATATCTTTATATATATGTAATGCATATAATATCTATAGGCCTTTAAAAATGTTTTACTTTGTTTTCTAGAAATTTGGAAAATATTTAAAAAAATTATGAGTGTAAGCGAAAGGATTTTAACCCAAGCGAAGCATTTCAACCACTTTGGCATACTGTATTATCTTTTAACACTGTTTCATAAACAGAAGACTTATTAAACTTTATAAAACGGCATATAAAATAAGGAGATGAAATTATAAAATAAGGAGATGAAATGCTATAAAATAAGGAGATGAAATTTTCAAGTTAAAGTAAATCTGTAAAAATTTATATTATCTACTTTATAAAAATACTGATTACTAATTACAGAACATGAAGTTTACATGTTAGATATATACATTACCGTCATAATTACTCGAATGGTCATATTTTTTTAATATAAGATATCAAAGTTTAATTAACTATTGGGAGAAAAACTGAAAACAATAATTACCTGAATTATGTTATCTTCCTATTTATTAGGTCTACAAATAAAATCAATATAAAGTTAGTTTATAATTTACTTGCCTATTAATCACCCTTATCAACAATAACCGTCATATATATTCTTGGCATTCTACTTAACGACCAAGTCAATTCTATGTCACAAACTAATAAGTTTTTTTCAAAAAAGAAATAATAACACCACGGTAAATCAATTTATTTATACATGATAACGAAACAAAATATATAAAAGTTTTATTTACAAAAAAAAATTCAACTACATCTGCATTATTAACTAACTACAAAAATACTAATTAAAGATATAGCGCAATATTTTCTCATATTTTATTTTTTACAGGATCCATACTAAGGATCCTTCTCATATTTTATTTTTTACAGGATCCTTATTAAGAAAGAAAAAGAAAAAAAAAATGGCGGAGGAGAGCGAGCTTTTGCTCTAAATTCGGGTCCACAACTTATGTGCCTCGCGAACTGCAATATGCTGAAAAAGCATCGTAAGATATATCTACGATGAAAAATTATCATATGATAGAATTAAAAACATCTTTATATAATAATACTACAAATCAATTTGCCTGCTGCTATTTTTATGTAGCATTTTTAAAAACGGGCAAAATTTGAAATGAAAAGGAATTAATAACAAAATTAATGAAAAAGTCAATTCAAGGAAGTTTAATAAACCTCCTCGAGTCAATTAAACAAAATAACGAAACATAAAAGCTATAAGTGCAAACAAATTTTGTAATTTGGCTGAAACACAAAATTATTTTTACCTTGATGGCAACAGACTAAATTCTTTATAAACTATTAGCTGATGATCAACAAAGTAAATTTTAAATAATTAAAATTTACTTAGTTAAAACCATATTTAACAGTAGACCAAGTAAACTTATGATAGTTGCTAAAGTACCAAAGTAGAACTAAAGAAATAAAATAACAAAATTTAAAAAGTTTGTAATACAAAATAATTTATAATACATAAAAAAGATTAACTGCAGTTTAAAGTATTCACAAAATCTTAACTGACAATAAAATACCATCTTGCCGTGGATAATCATAAACACAGTCACAGCAGCAAATCATTTCAATATTTTGCATGTTCTACTGACTAAAATTTTGATAGCGTTTAATGCAGAAACAGAATCTTTCACCAAAAATTTACTTAATATTAAAAAAAATAGAAACAAAATTTGGAATTGAAAAAAACGCAAATGTAAAATTTTTAATAAGTAAATTTTAAAAGATTCTTTTAAAATAAATTAACTTAATAAAATCTTACCTCAATATCAAACACCTCCAGACAATAACACTCTACTAAATTATTAGATTCATAAAAAATACGATTGAATATCTAACACTATTTAAAACCAATAATAATAAAAAAATAATAATAAAAAACAACTTACTTATATTTAAAATAAGGTCAACATTAGCTTCTATAAAATTAACAGCCTGTCAAGATTCATCCCCTACTAAACAGACTGTTTCATTAAGTAAAGCATTAAAATCTTTAGCAACTTCAAAAACAAATTAAAAAATACATACTACATATAAATAAAAGCATACTTAACAATTATATCATTTATATGATAATGATAATAGAATCTAAGATATCTCAAGAAATACAAAACTTACCGCTTGCAAATCTAAAATGCCTTGTGCATAACCAGTTAATAGCGGTCTGAGTTGACTCTTTCAAAACTATAAACACAGTATAATACTATTTCGATAGTTATCTGAATTGTCATTGTTGAGCACTTGGTTTAAAATGTTTAACGGGGGCAGATATGAAACTTTAAACTTTTTTATTATCTTAAGATTAGGTTATTTTAACTTTAGATCATTTTTAAAAATAACCAAGTTGGAAAAAATGATTTATTTTAAATATAAAATAAATTTTTTACTCATTTTCTTAATAGAAACAACTTATTTTATCCCCCTGACTGCGTTCAAAAAGAGTTTGTCGCGGAAAGCTTTAATTTTTAAAAAGCAAAGCAAAACAATTTCATAGTTCTCTTTTTATTGTGTTCTATTTTTGAATTTTTAAAAAAACCAATAAAAAATTTAAAAAAAAAGAGAAGGTTCTAACGATTGGACTCAAACCTCGATAGATATTTCAGAATGTCGTCCGCTCGGTCACACTGGCAAATATTCCTTTACTAAATACTTAGATACATATAAAACACGATTGAATATTTTACATAAAATTACATAAAACTAATTATAAAAAAAAAAACTTACTTATATTCAAAATAAGGTCGTCTTTAGCTTGTATAAAATTAACAGCCAGTCAAGAATCAATACAACACCTATAAAACAGAATGTTTCATTAAGTAAAACATTAGAAATTTAAAGTTCCGTAATTTTAAAAACAGATGCAAAAATACATGCTATTTTTTTAAGTATATTCATTAATTATATCATTTATGACAACAATAATAGAAGATACAATTTCATTTCAAGAAATACAAAAATCTTACCGAGTAAACATTTGCAATGCCTCGTGCAGTTTGTTCAGATCAGTTTAAAGTGTTCGAGTTGACTCTTCCAATCACATACGGAGAATCATACTATTTTGATGGTTTTCTAAATTCTGTCATTGTTGCGCACTCGGTTTAGAATATTTAACAGGGGGTTGTAAATTAGCTGTAAAACTCTAAATATTTTAATTACCTAAATATCGATAGTTTTAACTTTTTTTTCATTTTAAAAAATAATAAATTTCATAAGATAATTTATCTTAAATTTAAAATTTTTAAATATTTTTTTAATAAAAATACATTTTTAAAACCCCCTTACTGTTTTAAATATTCAGGTCGCCGCGTGGCAAGTTCAAATCATCAGCTTGCTTTTTTTGTTAAATGCACTTTATAGATTTTATATTCTATATATACACATGTTATATACTCATTTTCCTTGCGCGAACTCAACTTAGTTGGAGAAATGTAAATGTAAAACTAAAATAACATGACAATTAAGCGCAACAAATTTCTCCTGTTTTTTGATGTTTTTAGAACTTTTAAGCTTTCTTTAAAAATTCTCTTCCTTTCGTTTGTTTAAGTGTAAAATATTTTTACATTTGTTAAATATATAATCTCTATACATAATTTTTATTTCGTACTTTAGAAAAATCGAAAATGAATTTAAAAAGAAAACATGCCATAGGTAGGATTGAACGATTGAACAAATTTTAAAAATATATAGTAAATAAGAGTCTTTATAAAACGGCCATCGATCAAAATTAAGATGTTGCCGCAATGCAGTTTTCAAGTGAAAGTAAAACTTAAAAACTTGATACATGTTTTAGTATGTTTTGACATTTCGCATTTTGAAGTTTGCGTAAGTTATTTATTAGCACACACTTTCGTTAATGTTTTCTTATAAAAAGGTGCTGCGACTCTTCCTCGCCAGTACCTCGGTTGCAATGGCTGCGTTGGGTTTTGTGTCAAACGTGCTCGAAAGGGAACTACTACTATTGAGTTCCGTATTATTATATAAAGATGATATGTTTCAGTTTTAATACACAGAACACCCAAAAAATACATAAGTATGCAAAACACATTACTCGACACTGATCCTGTGAAAGCAAAAAAAAAAAAAAATTAAAAAAAAAAATTTTTTTTTTAACTGACATAATAAAACAGAAATGTATTATAATGGCACTTTGCTTAACATTTGATTTTTCTAATGTTTCTAAATAGAATAAAGAAATTTATTAACAATAACATAGAAACTAATTTGCAATGTATAGAAAAACTAAAAAACCTGAAAACTAAAAAGTATTTAATGTTTGCAGAAAACAAACAGCAACAGAATAGAAAAAAATATTATTCTAACCTTGATTGCGACGTACTAACTTTTTTTTTACACTATTAGGTAATGATCAACATAGTAAAGTTTAAATGACAAAAGTTTACTTTAAGTTAAAACCATATTTTATTGTAGATAAAGTAAATTTATGATTGTTGGTAGAGCACTAAAGTAAAACTAAAGAAAAAAATAAAATTCAACTAAATTAAAATGCAGTTAAACATGAAAAATAACTCTACCATCATGAGAAAAGGTAAAATTATAAAAACAAACAAACAAACAACAACAATAAAAGAATATTTCCTTTTATTAAAAATAAGAACCTCTTATTAAAAAAAATAACAGATAAGGACACATCAATGAACAAATAGACTTATCGATTAAAAACATACAGAGTGAAAAAGCAATTTTGAAGTTCTTTCACAAATTTATTGTAAGTACTTATTAGATACCCCCTAATTCAGTGATTATTGTTGATTATTATAATAATTATTAACTGCAATTTAAAGTATTCACAAAATCTAAACTGAAAATAAAGTATTATTCTGACACGGAGAATCATAAACACGGCCACAGCAGCAAATTATTTTAATATTTTGCATGTTCTGCTGACTAAAATATTGATGGTGTTTAGTGTAGAAACAGGATGTACATCTTTTCAACAACTTTAGATAAGAGTATTCTCTTCCTCTTTAATAAGGGGAAACCTTTTTTTCTTGTTCTGGGCCCACACTCTATGTACACTATAGGATGTGGGCTCTTATCTCAATTGATAAGGGCCCACATCCTTATTCTTATTGAAATTGCTAAACGATATTTTAATTTCATACTTAATTATAAAACCTAATTTTAATCTTGCAGAGATTGTTACAACTTAATTGGCTAAAATAAATATCGAAAAAGTAAATATAATTTAGAGCAATCAAATTATTAGTAAAATATCTCATAAAATAGAATAACACAATCACATTAGGAAAAATTAATGTTTTTCTTAATCAGTTTTAAAGATGAAGAAAAATTAGAAATTAAAACCTACAATATGTTATAACCTGTGGCACTAAAATTAAAATACCAAACAAAATATTGTTATTTAATTTTAATTAACTAACAATATTTTGTAACACTTAACACATACACACAATAACACTTTACTAAATACTTAGATTCATATAAAACACAATTGAATATTTTACATAAAATTATTCAAAACCAATAAAAAAAAAAAACAAAAAAAAAACTTACTTATATTTAAAAAATGGTCGTCTTTAGCTTGTATAAAATTATCAGCCTGTCAAAAATCAATGCAACACCTATAAAACAGAATGTTTCATTATGTAAAACATTAGAAATTTAAAGTTCAGTAATTTTAAAAACAGATTAAAAAATACATACTATTTATATAAGTATATTCAATAATTATACTATTTATGACAACAATTTATGACAACAATAACTATATCATTTATGACAATAATAATAGAAGATAATATGTCATTTCAAGAAATACAAAAATCTTGTGTGCACATTTTACAATGCCTCGTGCAGTTCAGTTCAGATCAGCTATAAGCGTTCGAGTTGACTCTTCCAATATTATACGGAGTATCATACTATTTTGCAGGGATGCCAGATATTTTACGATATGCGGTAGCCAGAAATATATAATAGTCAAAAGTGGCCAAAAAGTAGCCAAATTGTCCGCGATGGCATTGGTTTAATTTTGAAAACGTATATCTTATTGGCTATAATAAGACAATCGGATAAATTTGAACCAATGATAATTTAGATCATGTCAACTTACCGTAAAAACTGTCGTTATATATATTTTATGTTGTTTCATAACCGTACTTATAAAAATAAATTAAAATATAAAAGCAAGTTAAGTTAACTAGTTAAATAAATAAAAACAGTAAATTCTTAACTATTTAATAGTAAACAATTATTATTATATATTTTTTTATCAAAAAGGTTAAATCTTAAAAAAAAAATCAAAGTTTTTATTTAATTTAATATATATCCTCTTTATAAAAGTCATTTTAAAAAATGCCTCATACTATAATACCACATATTTACCATTTAAGACGAAAGAAAACTTTGCGTTGAGAGTTTTTTATTTTTTGTTCTATTTTAAAAGGTTTTTTTATATAACTTGAATAGTCCCTAGAAATATAGTAAATTTTATTTGAAAGAGTTTTCCCTAAACAACCTAAACAAATAATTTAAGCTAACATACTAAATAAAACTTTTGTTTTGATTTTGGTAGACATAATTATACAATATTAGAGCAAGCGTTGTTGGTAATAAAAAAAATTTAATAACTATTTCTATATAGATTGCTTTATTATTATATTAATTTGGGGTAAAAATATTCATTAAGAGAAATAAAACCATTAACTTTTTTTTTTTTAAAGTTTTCTATTACACAATACTTAATCGTTAATCGTCCTATATATCAACTTCAAAGTCATCAATATTTTCTGAAAATGAAGAGTCTCCAATATTGGATTTGTATACTATATCCGAACTAAAATTAGTCAGCATTTTTTTTGATATAGTGAAATCTTGACAGCACTTTCCAGATAAAATTAGTTCCGATCTTATTCTTACTACAGCATCTAACATATTTAGTGAAATTCTATTTCTGGCTTTTGTTTTAGTGGCAGATACAAGGGAGAATATCCTCTCAACAACAGCATTGCTAACAGGTGTTATCAAACAAGTTAAGGCATAGTTTGCAAGGTTTTTAAAAGTGTTATGCTGGAGAACACCTAGCCAAAACTGCTCAGTATCAGTTGGAAAACCACCTGTTTTAAATGGTTCTTCTTCTTTCCAATCTACAAATAGAATTTTTCGATACTGTTCTTCTATTAAGACCAAGTCATCTTTTAATAGGTGTAAAAATGGCAGTTCAGAAATATCGGGTCTTGATTCTTTACTTAAAATAATATCTGGATTCAAGGTCGATAAATTTTTAAATGTCTCCATTGATGATGGTAGTCTAGATGTTACTTGAGTATAAGCTTCATCTAACACGCACAAGCAATACAGTGACACCATTTACAATATGCTCTATGGGTACCATCTTCAACCATTTGAAGCCATAAAAACTTTTGCTCCCATATCTTTTTATATTGGCGATTAACATCATAAGAAGTCTTCCATTTTTCTGAAGACATACTGATAAACTTTTTTAAATTCTAAAAATGAATAAAATTAAACTGCTGTTCTTGCTTTGTCTTTTATTAGAATTTATATTAGAAGTTAAAATATAACATTAAATATATTCAACTATATTATCATTTTTATACATTATATCTTTATACATTAATATATATTATACTTATTGTACATAATATACATTAATAACAATAACATTGTAAAAGTTTAAAAATAACATTATTTTACACTTAATAAAATAAAAATCTTAGTAAGCTAATTAAAAAATAAAATATAAATTTATTTAAAAAAAAATATATAGCTAAATTGCCGTTTGGCCGATTATTTTTTGCGGTGGCCAGATTCACGGATTTGGCCACCAAGTGGCCAATCTGGCAACCCTGCTATTTTGATGGTTTTCTTAATTATGTCATTGTTGCGCACTCGGTTTAGAATATTTAACTGGGGCGTAGTAAAGTAGCTGTAAAACTCTAAATATTTTTTATTACTTTGATATCAGATAGTTTCAACTTTTTTTTCATTTTAAAAAATAATAAATTTAATAAAATAATTTATTTAAAATCTAAACTTAAAATTTTGAGTTATTCTATTAATAAAAATATACTTTTGAAACCCCCTTACTGTTTTAAAAAATTTTAGGTTTTATTTAGGTTTCATTTCAATTTCAAGTTCATCAGCTTGCTTTTTTTTTTTAAATGCACTTTATAGTTTTATAGATTTTATATTCTATATATACATGTTATATACCCATTTTTATTGCATAATCTCAACTTAGTTGGAGAAAACTTTACATGTAAAACTAAAATAACATGACAAATAAGCGCAACAAATTTCTCCAGTTTTTTGACGTTTTTGGAACTTTTAAGCTTTCTTTAAAAATTCTCTTCCTTTCGTTTGTTAAGTGTAAAATACTTTTACATTTGTTAAGTATATAATCTCTATACATCTTCAAAAGTGATTAGTTTTGTATTTTAAAAAAAATCAAAAAAGATTAAAAAAAAGAGTTCCAGGGACGGGAGTTGAACCCCGGCTTCCCTAATTAGTAGCTCAGCAAGCTGACCACGAAGCTACGCCGTCTTATCTATTAGTGAAATTTTATAAAACAGCTATCGGTCAAAATTTAAGGAGATGTTGCCGCAATGCAGTTTTCAAGTGAAAGTAAAACTTAAAAACTTGATACATGTTTTAGTATGTTTTGACATTTCGCATTTTGAAGTTTACGTAAGTTAGTTATTAGCACACACTTTCGTTAATGTTTTCTTATAAAAAGGTGCTGCGACTCTTCCTCGCCAGTACCTCGGTTGCAATGGCTGCGTTGGGTTTTATGTCAAACGTGCTCGAAAGGGTACTACTACTATTAAGTTCAGTATTATTATATAAAGATATATATATATATATATATATATATATATATATATATATATATATATATATATATATATATATATATATATATATATATGTATATATATATATATATATGTATATATATATATATATATATATATATATATATATATATATATATATATATATATATATATATATATATATATATATATATATATATATATATATATATATATATATATATATATATATATATATATATAAGGGGCTGTCCATTAATTACGTCAACAGAGACGTATTTGAATGGGGGGCAGAGACGTATTTGAATTTTTGGCGCCCTGGGGCACTGTTCCTTTAAGCGCCCTTTTTTAAGAATAATGTCAACTTTGGTATGGGGTGATCATTAAAAAAAAAACATTTTCTATACCAACATATATTAAGTTATATTAATCACTATAGAAAATTATAATTTTCTATGTGAGTTTTGTTTTGCAAATGTATTTATAATATCATTCATATCTATGGTAAGTTCATATCTATGGTAAGTACAGATTCTATAGATAGAATTGCTAACCTATTAAGACGATCACTTGTCATTCGCGACCTCAAATAAGATTTAACCCTCTTTTAATGCTGAAAATGATCTCTCGGCTGAACAATTGGACGTTGGGCAGCATAGATATATTCTTAATGCTAAATCTACATAAGGAAACAGCTCTTGAAGTTTTTCAGTTCTGATCATTTTATAAACATCTATTATAGTTTTAGGTCTTAAGTTTTCAGTTAAACTCATTAAATAACTTCTGAATTGTATACACTCGTTAGCAAATGAAGACGAAAGATCATTTTTATATACATTTTGAAGTACCTCTGCTTTTTTGTAAACTTTTGATGGCGAAAGTTTTATTATTTGAAATAAAAAGTTAAATTTTTTATTGGCTTCATCATAGCACAATTTTCTTCTTTCTAGTTCAGAATGAAGTTTATCAATTATAGCATAATATGTATTAATTCTTAAAGAGTCTCGAATTTTAAAATTTGTTTCTTTTTCTCTTTTTTCATCTGCAGTTAGTTTTCTTTTTCTTTTGCGTATTTTTCGATATGTTTTGTGTCCTGACTTATTTATTGCTCTCTCTTCATAGATATCAAACATACTCCTTAAATCTAATACATATCGAATTAAAGATTTGTATAAACTTACAACTGTTTCTAAATCAATCTCAACTGACTGCAATTGTTTGCTAGTTTTGTTGAATCTCTCTAGTATATCGCCCCATAATGTGGCCATTATAGCTGTTTCAAGACTATCCAGTTTTAAATATAGCCCGTTAGCTTCGGATCTTGTAATAGACTTTTCTGTTTTATCATCTTTGATAAAAGACAGTGCATTAATTATTTCAATCCAATTTTTGTTTAAACTAATACTTGCATCAGATCTTGCTGACCATCTGGTATCTGATAGTTTTTTAAGAGATACATTTTCTGTTTTAATCAAATTCTTCTGAAGTATTTCCCATCTATAAGTAGAGGCACTGAAAAATTTATAAATATTTTGAAGCAGAATAAAAAATTCAGAAGCATAAATACAACAGTCCACAGCGCACTCACCAACAAGATTTAAAGAGTGTGCCGAGCATGGTACAAATGTTGCTAAAGGATTAACTTTTTTAATGCGAGCTTGAAGTCCTGTGTATCTACCAGACATATTAGACGCATTGTCGTAACTTTGACCACGACAATTATTAATATCTAATCCATGCGATTCTAAAACTAAAAATAAAGCATTTGCTAATTCTTCAGATTTATGACCAGAATTAGGTAAAAACCCTAAAAATCTTTCTACCGGACAGCCATTCTTTTGAACATACCGAAAAATGAATGACAGTTGATCTACATGGCTAATGTCAGGAGTAGAATCAATACTGATGGAAAAGTATTTAGCTTCCTTAATTTCTTTCACCATTTGTTGAATAACATTATCTGCCATTATACTTATGAACTGCTCATATATATTAAATGATAGGTACGATGTTGAACCTTTTCCTTTATTTCCAAACTTCTCAATGTGCTGTGCTAAAAAAGGATAAAACTGAGCAATAAGCTCTAAGCTCATCATAAAGTTCCCATTATGAACAGATCCAAAACGGTCATCATCACCTCTAAAAGACATTCCACGAGAAGAAAGGGATTTCACAACAGCTACAACTCTTGTCAATACATTTTTCCAATAATTTATTTCTGTTTCTACTTGATACTTTAGCTTTTGATCAACTCGATTTAATACTTCTTTTCTTTCTTTCATATTCATTACACACAATTTGTGGTGTTGTGAATTTTCATGACGCTTGATTTTTTCTTCTCCTTTTTTCCAATCTGAAAAACCAACTGTGGCAAACGATGTAGTGCCACCAAATAAATAGCAGGGAGCACAAAATATTGATCCTTTACTTTCTGAGTAAATCAAAAATGTTCGGTTAATTTTTTCGCCATTAACAAGAGTAGATATAAATATACTTTTTGACATATATGAAAACGAGTACGTCTTACCCCACCAATTATTTGAGTGTAAATTCTTTTTGACTTTTGGAAATTATTGTTCTCTAAATTTTGGTTAAATCCATTGATTGATAAATAATCTATCGTTTCTTGATTTTTTATCCAATTGGCAGGATCATTTCTAAAGGGAAAATATATTTGTTTAATATACAAAAACCAAAAAATATTATTCAAAGTTTTTTACAAATTGTATAAAAAAAACATTCAAGCATTAGGTAATAGAGATAAATGCATAATATAATATAACTAGAGGATATAGGTATCGTTGAAAATGTACAGAGTGTACTATATTTGTTAATAATTTAATTTCCAGCATAATTTTACATGACAAGCGACTTAAAAAAATAGTCTACCTTTGTACATGTTTATAATTGTAACTTACCATAAAAAAAATTAAAAAAAGCTTACTCAGGAACAATACTTTGTTTAGGAAGACTGTTATGTTCAACCATTGGCAAACGTGGTGTATCATTTATTTCTTCCGATTCTGTAGACAATAGAGTTTTACTCGTTTCTGTGCTGCTGTTATTTAGTAATATAAGATTGTCTGGATTTGTTAGATTATCTTTATTAACAGTGAATCTGTGATCATTTTGGTTTCTATAGAGAAAAATAAAATAAATTTTGTATAACATGCATGTACCAAAAGATATTATTTATAAATTATATCAAATTTTAAATAAAGATTTTACAATAAACATTCGGGCTTGTTATGTTCATGCATGGACAAACAGGGTGTTTCATTTAGTTCTTTGGATTCTGGAGTCAATAGAGTTTTACTAGTTTCAGTACAGCTCTTACTTGATAATATTAATATTAAATCGTCTGGATTTGATAGGTTATTCTCATTAACAATAAAGCTGTGATCATTTTCATCGCTTGTATTATTTACATTTTCAACTGAAAGCATAAATAACGATTACTACACATATCTACATTTTAGATATAAATTATTTACATTTAATAATAAATAACATAACAACATGAAGTATAAACAATAAATAACAGAGCAATATGTACCTATATGTATATATATTTGCTAGAAAGCAAAATTAATAAAACGTATGGTTTTCTAGCTAAATAAACTTACCCGGCGATGTGTGAAGCTGTTTATCTGTAAAGCTAAAATATGTTTCTAACTTAGCAGTCTTTAAAAGTATTTTTGCTTGAGCTTCATGTTTTGCATGGGTTCGTTTTCGGTTTTCTGCGCCACTAAGCTTTTTACTATGAATCATCATTGCTTTTTAAAATAAGAATCCTAAAAAGTGTGTATTATATATATATTGTTATCATATATATATGATAACAATAATGTTAATACTAAAACTAAAAACAATAATCGAAATACGAATATTTACCTTTTTCAAGACTGTATACTGTAATACAAGGGATTAAGCAGACAACATACCGAAGAACAAAATACTTAGGCCAACAATAAAAAAAACTGACAGCAATCTTAAAAATTCAAAATTATATTGTGCACACGTGGTATATACAAGATGGTTAGCAAAAAAGGCGATTAAAGTCAAATTGCTAATTTAATATAATTAATGCGTAATTTATTCTGCTCATCACTTCAAATTATATAAAAATAAATTAAAAAACAAACTGATTATTTAAAGTTTAAAGTATTTTTAAAGAGTTTTTTTTTTTAGAAAATGTAAAGAGAATCTTTGAAGAATTATTTCATTTTTTAAAAGTAAATAGCTGTGTCTATACCTAAGTATTTCTGTTAATAAAGTCAATTAAGAGTAAAATGAAAATGTTAGGTAAAACGCACCATTTATTTTTTTCAAGTATATTATTTACTAATTAATAAATAAGGATCAAGTATTTGATTAATAAAAATTATAAATCATTTATTCAAAAAAATATATAAATTTTATTTATATCAAGATTAGATAGTATATTAAATAAGAACACTCGTAGGAGTAGACCTCGGAGCGCCAGCGTCAGAGTGATGAGCTTAACCGTTAAGCTATCGCTACATACCGTATCATTAAAATATTTATAATAAATAAATAATTTGTTTAGACACGTGACTTTCAGTATCAAATCAACGTTTTTAGATGAATATTTGGCGCATAATTATGTATAATTTGCAAGTTTAATTTGATCTCCTTTTGATTGATATTTTCTTCTGCTAACTAAATTTTTCTAAAATCAACTAGAGATATTTAGTAAGTCGATAAGTAGGTCTATGATTTGAACATAATAATAATATAAAAATTTTCGTGAAATGATATAAATAGACTATTTTACAATTTTCTAAAATTCTAACATTCTGAAAGCTGGCGCCCTGTCAAAACATGGCGCCCGGGGGCCAAAGCCCCCCCCTGACCCCCCGTAAATACGTCTCTGGGAGGGGGGTCTGAAGTTTTTTGACAGTTGTTGATACGGGGGAGGAGGAAGGTCAAGTAAAGTTGACGTCAACAATGTTTTTGTTTTTAAAAATTTCATTACTCAAAAAACAGAAAATTAGGCGGTATTTTTTTCATTTGAGGGGGGGATGGATAATCAAAAGTTGACGTAATTTTATAGGGGCGGGGGTCTCTAAAAGTTTGACAAATTGTTGACAAGGGGGAGGTAAAAATTTCAAAAAATTTGTTGACGTAATTAATGGACAGCCCCTAAGAGAGATAGAGTTGTTTCTAGGAAAGTGGGGAGGCAACAGGATAATTTTGCCCTAGGCCCTAATGATTTTAGGGACATCAGGCAAAAATCAAGGACATTCTTTATATTTTGAAACACCAAATTTGCCTCTTACTCATCAATAAGGTTGTTGTGTAGAGGCAGGGCTATTATAAGGTATAATACCCCCTCCTCCCACCCCATCTAGATTTGTAGCCAACAAGTTGACAAATTTGGATCTAGATGTCAAATATAAAAATCAAGAACTTTGTTTTTAAGCTAGAAGATATGCTTATTACCCCCACCCCCAAAAAAAAATTATTTGCACACAAATAAATCTGGAACACATGAATAAGTAAGAATAACAAAAAAAACTTTTACTTTGCACCTATTTATTTAGATGTATGGTGTCATAATCTTGACCCAGTTGAGCTGGGAGAGGCCCATTTTATATATAATCTCAGATATAATCTGATTAATACAAGAGATGACTAGAATTTTGACATTTGGGTAAGATTTAATAGGCCAACTAGGATACTTTTTTTTTATTTTAGGGGACTAACTTAAAAAATTGATTTTGCCTAGCTAATTATATAAAATATTTTGCCCCTGATTATATAAATCTGGCACAAATATACACACTAAATAAACACACACACACACATACACACACACTCACACACACACACACACACATATATATATATATATATATATATATATATATATATATATATATATATATATATATATATATATATATATATATATATATATATATATATACAGTGCCGGCCTTAGGATGGGGGGGGGGCGAGGTTAGGCGCCGCCCAAGGGCGCCAGGAAACAGGGGCGCCAAACGTTGTATGCAAACTTTATCAATATAATAAATAGAAAAAATAAGTCAACCTAAATTTTTTCGATTTCGATTTTCGATTTTTTGTTATTTTTTCAAATGCTTTTTTTTTATATAAAAATAATTTCTTTAAATAATTTCTTTATTGTATCATTACACTGTTAAAAATTCTTTGTGCAAAATTAATAATTTGAGTAAAAGTATTTCAATCGTAGCTTATATTTTGTTACTTAGATTCATTTTTTACTTGTATCTTTCTCGGCGCCAATTATATTGCGTTCCATTCATTTAAAGTTTAAATTTTAAACATTATTTTCGGTACGAGTTGCGAGCGCGTTGTTTATTAATTTGTAGAAGAAATTTAAAGTTGTATTTGTGATTCAAATTCAGTTTTTGTCAAGTTTTCAAATTTTGCGGTAATAAAAAGCAGGTAAGTATAAATAATGAAATTGGTTATGAATTATTAGCTTGCGAGTAATTTTTTATTTTGAAATTTTAGACAAATAGAAACTGTCAGCAGCAATCAATAGAGAGTACTCATAATAAAGAAAAAAATGTTTTTAAAACTCATAATAATAAGAAACCATCTGGTGCTCAATACAGAAAACGTAAAGCAGAAAAAGTTGATAATTATAAGAAAAATTATAAAAACTTGAAAATATTTTTACATCGGAAAATAGTGATTGTAATAAAATAAAGGAAGGAGAAAATGTTGCGCATCTACTTAGTGATACATCAACCAGAGATTTTGGACTGAATTTAAGCTTTTGTCGAGGGCAAGGTTACGATAACGGTGCAAATATGAAAGGTAAAAAAAATAGGTCTACAAAAGCGAATATTAGATTTGAATCCTTTGGCTTTTTACCTTCCATGTGGAAGTCATTCTCTCAATTTGGTTATTTGTGACACAGCGTAGTCTTCACTAAATTCCATTAACGTTTTTGACATAATACAAAGATTGTTCACATTATTTTCTGCATCAACTTCACGCTGGAATATTTTACTTAGTCATACAACAAACTTCACTCTTAAAAGATTATGTGACACTCGTTGGGAAGCCAAAATTGAGAGCCTGAAAGCCATCCGATACCAAATAAGCAGCGTACATATTTAAGAAATACCATGTTGCAAGATCGACTTAATTCTCTATTTATGTTATCAATCGAGCAAGATATAGCTGAAAATTTAGATTTTTCTAGTTTGATAAGAAATTTTGAGGAAAAAAAGCTAGAAAAGTTAGATTTTAAAATTTATTAACTCTTGTTTATATAGTTAGAGGATTTATTATATGTTTAATAAAAACATTTGTTATTTTAAAAGCAGCGTTGCGTTGTCTATTTATTTAGTCACTCATTTCTATAAACCCATATCATGAAAAGTCTAAATTTATAATTTTAATAAGAAATTAATTAAATAAGAAACTTGATGCACAATATGGATCTCTTTGCATTAAACTATATATTCCCTTTAGCACTCTTGTTCATCATTTTAGAGCATTGGTCTCGTTGTTAATGGTATCAACCCACCCATATATACCTAGGGGCGCGTTCACAAGTTTTGCCCAACCTGTCAAAAAAGCTAAGGCCGGCGCTGTATATATATAGCATTTGTTGTAGGTTGTTCAAACCGAGGTAGGAGGTAGTATCACTAGCGATAGTATCACAATAAAATTATATATATTATATCAGGAGTCTATTAGTCAGTCAGAGCAGAAAGTTAACATGAAAGTTTTTGTTTATTATAAATTTAAAACTATTATGTGTATATTATAATTTTGTACTACTATTTCATAAGAGTCCTTTGGGGTTAAGGTCCTAAATTCCTTATCAATCACTTATTGAAACAAACAAATCAAAACATTTGACACAAAAAAAAATCTTTGAAAAAAAAAATATTTTTTATGAAAAATAAATAACAGAGTTACTATGCCAATTATGCTTTTATGAAATTTGTTGCTATGAAAATAGCAGTTTTTGAATGTGATATTTCATTAAACTATTTATTCGAATCCAATAGATGTTTTTTTCATTTTTGAACGGAGTGATTTTGACTTTGTTTGATTTTCTTTAAGTTTGTGCATACTTAGTTTTTCTTTTGCATATGAAAAAGTTCTTACTCTAACATAAAGTGTAACTAGATGATAAAACAAGTTTAAAGACAGTTCTTTGGATACTTGATTTGTGCAAAGACTACGAAGTTCAGATATGCTTGCCATAACAACACTGTTTTTTAAAATTTCTGTTACAATCAGTTCTGAATCAATTTTTTTTCCAAAACCATTACTTTGTTGGCGAAAGAGAACCTCGACTTTGGTAAAGATCTCTAAAACTGGAGGAGACACTTTCCACAAACCACCGCGATTTTTTGCATTTACAAATTTATGGTAAAACTCAGTAAATGGTTCAGGATTCTTTGAAAAATTTTCAATTTTACCAGCATTAAGAAGTGAAAGGCAGTCTGTGCTTAACTTTTGCTGCCATAACCGTGAACTCCGAACTCTGCAATAAAATGTACTGAATACATAGCCACTTAAATACAAGATTATTTCTTTATCTCGATCTGAAAGTTCAAAAGATGATAAATCATTTAAATTTATTAAAGAATTATTGTAAAATGAGTTTGTAAGAAACGCTAAAACATGATTGCATAGTTCACATCCAAGAAGTCTAGTTGTTTTTTTACTTAGATAGTTTATGAAAATATCACAATTAATATCTTTGTAAAATTGAGGATAAAACTTTTCTGCATCACCATTAGCTTGAAAACTGGCTATTGTTGTCTCTAATAAAGATAGGGTTTGTTGTAAAGTTTCTAATAGTATTGCATGATTTATTCTCAACTCGTTTCTATACAAATCAGGATAGCATTCGTCGTCAATTAAAGTAGAAATGCTTTTATCAAGCAGACTTTTAAACTCGCTAAGAAGAATAGGGGGTTTAGGATTTTGTAATGTTAAGTCCGAAGGAATACCTTTATGCTGTGAGTTTGTATGCCTTGTAAGGCCTCTTTGAGATATGCATTTCTTAGAGCAAATTGTACAAGAAAATGTGCTTTTAACTGGTTCAATGGACAACTCCAACACCAAGGCGTCTAAATCTTTATTAAAGTTTTCGTCTTGAAAGAGGAAATCGTCCTCCAAAGAAAAAAATAGTGTTTCAATATCAAATTCGCTATTTAACTCTATGTCCGTTTCCATATTTTGGGCACTCTGTTCCTGGCCGTTCGACAGTTTTCAAGTGTTTTTAACGAATATTAGAAAAATCAAATAATACGGCCCGAGTGACCAGACTATCTATTTCTTATGACTATGGATGTACCAAGCAAATTTCCTCCATTCTAGTTTTTTTCAGTTCTCTAGTTTTCTTCAGTTGAGCTTAATCATACTTTTTTTTGGCAAACTCTTTGGTTAGAGTTTTGGTTGAGCTAGTTTCCTTATTTTCGTTTTCAAATCATCCTCTTCAGCTTCAGCAATCAATCTATTTTTTTTTAAGTTCAACAATTTCACAATTTAAAAATATATTTTGTAAGTAAATACAGTCTTGAGTCCTTGTTCTTGGTTTAATTTTATTTTTAGTGGTCTGCAAATTTGTAGTGTAAGAATCTCAGCATATAACTAGTAGTAGAAAAAAATCTTTTTACCTATAACTTATTACCGATAACTTGTGATACCTTTTTGCTAGTCATAACAATTGTGATATACATTCTTAAAACACTTTTCATATCAAGAAATAATATTAAAATATTGTTTTTAATTATTAAAACAATCTATGCAAAAATCTAAAGAGATTTATTAAAATAATATTATATATTTGTATTTTAACCATTTGTCTAAGAAGTGACAAAATTATTTCTACAACATTAAATAAAAATTTTAAAAATATAATACTATTAGTAATAGTATTACATTTATAATATGAAGTTTACTTTTGCTTTATCAACAAATATTAAAATAAAATACGTAAAAACCTCCATTAATACCCTCCCCCCTTCCCTCATCTCCCCGAAATCGGTATGTAAAATATAAAATTAGGTACCAAAAGTGCACGTCAAAATAGGCTATATGCCGAGCAAAATAAAGCCTTGAAATTTGGCATGCTCATAGAAAATGTATAAACTTAAGCAAAAGAATAGGATAGAAAAAAATATAAACATATCTTCAACATTTATTAAGCTCACAAAATGCAACACAGTTTTAGATGTCAATAAATTGTATATTAACGTTTTTCAATAAAAAAAAATAACTAAACTGTAAAATAATTTAACAATTCTCCTTTTTAAAAATACTCTATGTTAATATAAAATTTTAAAAAATTATTCAGCAAAACACCATTCTACCATACCAACGAAACGCAAAGTTCTAAAAACGTGTAACAGAATTTTAGCACAAAAATCGGTTCCGTAAAACGCGTTTTTTGGCATACCTATAATAAAGATCTTTTAAGTCGTTTAATCGATGCCACATTAAGAAGAAATATATCTGCAGGAGTTTGTATCCCGTCTTACTTAAAAAAACAATAAAAAGCATTGTATTGCTGTGAGGTAAGTCACTTTACTTTTTCTTCAAAAATATTTATCTTATTTAATACAATAAGTTAATCTGTGTTAATTGTGTAACTTGAATCTAGATATAAAAAACTGTAGGGGTTATGGATATGATGAAGCCAATTCTGTCTATGAGTATATAAATAGTCTTTTTGCTCGGGTTCTAATTATAAATTCAAAGGTTCTGTATACACATTTTCATGTGTATACGGAATTTCTATCAACTGAAGTTATTTCTATAGACTGAAGTTATTTGTTTATGAATCGTGTAATGTCCAATTAGTCTCAGAGGTTTTTTCTAATTATTCAGAATTAATTATTCAGAAAGTAGATAAAGTTTTTAGAAACTAGTAATATAGAGCTTGAACCTCGAACGTATAAGAAAAATTAAAGGATGTTTGTAGAACTAGATGGATTGAGCGTATAGATGGTTTAAATGGTATAGATGGTTGTCTTTAACATTGTTCATCAATTTTCCTTGCTTTATGTATCATAGCTTTCCTTGAGAGTTCTGTTAACAAAGACTAACAAAATAAATCTTCTACTTTTTAAAATTCCATTACCACTTTTCAATTTATATTTACTTTGTTTTTCGCAACATGTGTCTTTGATTTTACTTTACCTGTTACTTGGTTACTGCAATCAAAAACTATTAATGTCTTAGATGATTTGCACCTTATAACAGCTATTAATTTATAAATTTGTTACCATTAGAAATAATATATACAATTTTTAAAATAGTTGCTACGAAGCATCATGTTTGCATACTTAATAACACCTATACCTTAAATCAGTATTATTTCCAGGATTTGAAAATATTAATATACCATGACCACTAATATTATTAGTGGCCATTGTTTCTGAAATTCACAATTTCTTTCTATCACTTTCTAGTTTAGCAATGAAATAAGACAAATAAAAATTATTTTTAATAAATTTTCTGTCAATCAACCTAATAATAGTTTTTGTGCCATTTAAACCAGTTTTTTACTGTAATTGTTTTCAAAAACCTTTCTTTTCATTTGATCAAAAATGGTCTTCTTTCTTGTTGTT